GCAGTGGGGGAGGAGGGTATTCACTTTATAACACTAGTTTCCAATCTTTCCATCAAAGACATTTGTGCAATATTCCAAGCCACAATGGTCTTCATGTTTGAACAGTGTTTGCCAAATAAACTAACTGATCTTAACTTTGCTTATGGCAAAAAAGTCAACATAAGACAAAGGTCCAAGAGAAATAATTTTTATAGCATATAAATGTACAAAAATTCCTCTAAATTTGGAAGTAAATGATGAATGCAACAAACATGAGAGGAGAAAAGCCTTTTAAAAAGTAAATGAACAGGTAATAACTAAGTTGAAAACAGATTTTACTGTTAGTCTAATAATAGCAAATAAGACATATATTGGAATGGCAGAGTTTAAAAAAACTGACAATGCTTCGTGTTGTTGACATTGTGGAGAAATGCACACACACCAACTACTGGGGGATGTAAACTGATATAAAGTGTCTGGAGGAAATCTAACACCCTGTAGTAAAACTGTAAGTGTTTACAATTTTTGACCCAGACATTTTGCTTCTGGAATTTATTTTTGCTTCACATGGGCAATGCACAAAGATATTTATTCATAGTAGAATTTATATAAGCAAAAAAGTAAAGCTAACCATTTAATATGCAGAACTGATTAAGTAAGTTGTACACAGAGAAAGCAAATATAACAAATTTTTCAATTTGTTGAATATAAGTAGTGTATGGATATTCTTTTTCCTGTACTTTCAAGTCTTCTGTGTGTTTGAGAATTTTTATTTAAAAATGTTGGGGAGAAATTAGTTATAGCCCATATAACAAGCATTAAGGACAAAGTAGTATTTATTTTCACTGTATTGCCCACATCCCCCTATAGGACCAACCAAGAGCAGAATGCCAACTCCTGAGATCCCTTCGCCCCACCACACACATAGTCACTAATAACTGAATGTGAAGTGAACAAATAACCTGAAGCAGGCCAACTAGCTTACCAGCACCCAATGATATCTGTAGCCTAGCTCACATAGAGAAACTGAGCCAGTCAGATTTCCTCTCCTGACATTTGGGCCCAAAATATGGAAACTGTAAATCAGCAACAGGAACTAGATTTGAAAGATTATGATGTTGGGGTTGCAGGAATATGCAAGATAAAGAAGTCAGGGGGCGGGGGAGTGTAAGCACTGTAGGTAAGGGGGAATGGACAGAGCTGACTAATGTAGAGAAAGGTACAGAAATTGCACAAACTACACAGGCCCAGAAGGAAAGTTTATGGCCTTGGTTTCTCTTGGGCTTTCTTGTCCTCAGTATTAATTTACATCAGACCCAAATGCCATTAGCTTCCTGTCATTAGAGCATGTGACATCTTACTAACTTTTTCTAAAACCCTTGATACCTGGGGACCACATAATGGGCCCTTACCATTCTGGCAATTCTAATATGCTTTAAAGCTTCTAAATTTATAAAAATTTATTGTTACACAGCAGCAAAGCAGCAGGAGAGAAAAGTTAAGCAATAAAATTTGTTCAATTCTATTTTTACCATTAATGGCATTTAGCTTTGGATAAATTCACCCTACATAATTTTTAAAGTATCTTTCCATTCTATAGCCACATATTCACTTGGCGAAAGTTGAAATAAAACTGTTTCTGTACTCCTGCTCTAAGCAGGCTATGGGATATTTGCTAATAAGAGCTATTAAAAGTTTCCTAGGAAGAACGCATTTAGTGTTTGAGCTGATTCAAGTAACTGGAACACCCTACAATTTGTTCTGTGTGTGTGTGTATGGATATATTTTGTGTGTACATACATACACACACACAAAAATTTCTATAAACCCAGAAATAAAAGATGAATGCAACAAATATGAGATGGGAAAAAGCCTTAAAAAAGTATATGAATGGAAAAGTATATCCATTTTAATGCAAAAATTAGCAAGAATTTGAAAAAATTCATGCCTCAGAAAGCTTCTGACAAAAAAATGTATATAATCACCTCGAAGTAAACTTTTGTAATAGGAAAAAAATGGAGACTAGTTCAAGATGCATTACTTGATACAAAACAATATCCTAGCAAGCCCTTTACATTGCACTTCAGTTTTTTTAAAAGGCAATCTGTTATAAACATTGAAACATCTGTCTACTAGGACCAGGTATGATTGATACCCAACCAGTGATGATACAGTTTGTCCTCTAAGGGGAAGGTCCCAGAAGTAGAACATTTCCTGGAGGAGATGGCCCCTCAGCTCAGTCCTGAAGGAGTGTGCCCAGTGAAAAGGAGGACCAGAAATATGTCAAGGTTGTTCTTCTCCCCAGTAGAGATTCCAATTTTAAACCAAGCTCAAGGCCTAAAATTCAGGAAACACAATGCCATACCAGTTGTTGACTTTTAAAAAACAGCCATATATTTCTCCAGCAAAATGGGTTTATGAACAAACAGTTGCAATTCTGGACATGCAGTCTAATGGCAAAGCACATGCAAGTCCAGAAGACAAAGGAGAGAAACTTTCACATGTAGAGGAAAGGGAGAGTTCAAAGGCACTGTTGTAAGCAGAGTCCATTGGTGCAAACTGAGAGTGAAGTGTAGTGACTTTTCATTGGCTGAGTGGTTGCTCACTACAAGATCCTCCTTGCTTCTGTTGGAGTAACAGAGTAGAAACACTTCCTGTTGGAGATGGAAAGTATGCCTTTTCCTGTTTGGGGTAATTGACATTGAGTGATAGGGCATGAGAGCTCCCTCTACAGGCCCTCCTGACTCCAATTTACATGATGTTTCTGTTTAATAAACTTCACAGTTACCAAGAAACACGGTGTTATATACAGGAATAAGTTCCCCTGTAAATGTGTAAAGCCAACAGAAATAAAAGCCGAGGACACCACCCAAATGCAAATCTGTCCCCAGGATAGCCATTTCTACTCCCTTTTTAAAAAGCTATCATTACCAGATTTTCCCTCTCTTCATGTTCTCACAGTTCTAGACCCATCTGAATTCTTTAAGTCAGACTCTTATTCTCTCAAGCCCACCATTCTGAAAGGACTTGCTTTGGGGTTCACTGAAAAGCTAAGTGGCCCTTAGGAAGAGTGGCGTTTATGAGATCAATGAATAATTAAATAGAGACTATATTTCTAGCAAGGACTTTTAGGAAGGAGACTGGTGTTGATGGAAATACAATGTCCCAACAGTTTTCCGATACTAAAATACTATGTATTTTTCAGTCTGTTGAAATCCAAGAATGAAACTCAACCAGGTTTTATAGAATTTAAATGGGTGTTTTTTGAATTACCTAAGGGACCAGGGGAGAAAACGAAAGGAGGAGGAAGAGAAGAAAGGAAGCAGAGAGAAAGGATGAAGGGCAGGAAAGCAGTACTACCCCGGAAGCAGAGATGGGTGTCTGCTGAGATGCAGAGAGTATGGGTATAGACGGGACTTTATATACGGTGCTAAGTCCTGTGGTCATTATAGTTTGCCATCTGCTGTCTAATTCCTTGTCACTCTCCCTCAAGGAATCAGAAGTAACTGACTTGCCAATCCCAGCTGGGAGAAGAAACTGTGCTCCTTTCCCCTTGATTAGGTGCCGAGAGAACACGGCTCCAAGGCATGGTGGGAGATGTACAACTTCCACCCAGACATCAAAACTTAAAGGCAAACAGAGTCACAACACCTAGTATACTGGGAGTGTGTGCCAGGGGAAGGGGTGGGATATATATATATATATATAGTGGATATACATATTCATATTCCTTCACATAACATTATGTTGAGCGAAAAAAGCCAAACACAAAAAGGCATATCTATCATTCAATTTGTATGCAACTCCAGAATTCTAAAGTGGTTCTCTGGGTGTGGGGGTGCAGGAGACTGCCTCAGGAGGGGCACAGGAGAAATCTGAGGTAATAGGAGTATTCTGTATCTTGACCATGGTGGTGGTTACACAGGTGCGTAGATTATCAAAAGTCATTGAAATATACACTTCAGTAAATATATACCCACCAGGTGTCTGGAAAGGACAAGGGCACAGTTAACGCCACTTGCTCTGTGATTAAAAAAAAACAAAAAAAAAAACCAAAAAAAACAGACAGTCCTGGCTGATGTAGCTCGGTGGATTGAGCATTGAGTGCAGGCCTGCGAACCAAAACTTCACCAGATCAATTTCCAGTCTGGCACATGTCTGGGATGCAGGCCATGTCCCCAGTAGGGGGTGCCCGAGAGGCACCCACACACCGATGTTTCACTCCCCCTCTTCTCCCCTTCTAAATAAAATCTTTTTAAAAAAAGAAATAAAGAAAGCAGACAGAAGGCATCCTGACTCCCATCCTGACTTCTTCCTTCAAAGGGACTGTAAAACTGATGAGGAAAGGGGGGTCGTCAAATAGGCCAACACCTTAGAGGCATAAAGGGACACACGCCCACCCCCCAAAAGGTGCTTTTTAACTTATCAATAGCAGGCATCAACACGTGGATAGAGTGCTACGAGAGCTCACCAATGGTAAGGTACACATAAATGCCTTTTTCATTTTTTTAAAAAAAGCAGGAAATATAAAATAAAGAGTGGGGGCACCAACCAGAGCAATCTGGCTGGAATTTAGGCTGTTAAACTGACTCACTTTAGCAAACTGGGCTCCAGCGTTCCCCTCTGGAAAGGGCGCGTTCTCCCCAAGAATTAGGCACACTGGGAGTTTCTGACAAACCCCTGTTCCCGACCCCGCGACTCCGTGGGGATCAGAACGCGCTTCCATCAGACCCCCCCCCCAGCTGAGTTCGTCCTATGTCGGTCCCTTAATGCCTGTGAAATTGGAATTTTAAACTGCTTAATCTTGGTTTTCTCTTGCACCAATGGGAATGGTTAACAACACAGTTCTGCAGACAGACTTTTTGTTGCCCACACCGAACGACTGGCACGTCTATCTGGGCTCGCTGACAGGCAGCATCTGCCTGCGCAGTCACAGTTCGGAACCGCCCCTGCTCAGCGCGGAGAGAACCTAGACTGTTCTCCCCCGCGCTCCGCCCGCGGGCCTCGCGGACGCTGTTTACCTGCCAACGATGAGCACCTGGCCGGCCGCCGAGGTAGCCATGCTGGCGCCGGGCTGACCGGGAAGGACCGCGGGGACGTGCTGCAGGCTCGGAACCCGGGCACCGCTCTGCGCAGGGTTCCTTCGCGGCGGGCCGTGACCCTCGCCCATTGGCCGGGTTCGGACTGGGGCTGCACAGATCCACTCCGGATTGGCTGGGGCCGCAGGCTGGGCGGCCGGGGTGCCCCCGGGAGGGCGTGGTTGCGGACCGAGCCCCACCTCTTTCCTGGTGCTCCCCCAGTGCGCTGGGGTGCGGGCGGATCCGACCCCGCAAGACCCGCTGGAGGAAATGCCAGTAGGAATCGGGAGGGCCAGACACTCGGAGTCCAGTAATTTATTGTTTTTCACATTTTCACCGTGCAGCCTAAAATCAGTGTGTATGAGGGGCACTTCCAGGCTGCCGCACGGCTTTACCCCCAAAGGACCCCAAGAAAACTATTACCAGGATTTCCCGTTTAAAGGTATAGGTAGCTCCTCACTACACCCCAGTTTAGGCTTTAAACTAAGGGCGGTTACTGCTGAGTTTACACTGACTATACCTTTACACAGGTACTTGTCGTCTTCCCCGCAGATGGAACTTTAGAAGAGCAGAAAGTCAAGCTCCAGGCTCATAAACCTGTCAAACAGGAGCCTACTTTAATTGTACATCCGTGAGTTAAGGGGTTGTGAATGGTGGGCGCTATCTGAACTGTACTTCCTACTTCAAAGAAATGTTACCCTGCATGATGCCTGAACATTTTGGGAGCCAGCAACCAAGAAGAAAGGGAATCGCACATCACATGACAGACAGCAGTTTGTGTCCACACAGCACACGGTGCAGGGGAAGTGCCACCGTCATCCCTCCCGTTAAAGATGATTACTACTCAAGTGGAAAACACATCCACACCAGCACTCATGACAAATGGAGCTTTTCCTTTGTTTGTTTACCCCAGTCAGAAACATGGAAAGAGAAATGTCAGAGGGAAGACTAAGCTTTGAAAAACAGTTTCAGAAATTATCAATGCACTTTGAAAAGGTGCTCAATTCAAGAGAAATGACAAGTACACAACTAATATGCCATTCTTCACCCATCCGATTGGCCAAGATCACAAAGATTGATGACATTCTCATATTGGCAACCAAGCCTCTTTCTTGCAACACCATAATGGGCGTTGCAAGAGCTGTCACCATGAACCCTGAGCATTCCTGCTGAGTGTACGAGATGCCAAGGGTTATCAATCTACTAATATTGAGCAGTTTCTGTAGCTATTCAACCAGGCAGCCAAAGAGGTCAAGGTACCCGAAGAGTGATTACCCTATAACTGCTCACTCCTGTGGTGAAAGGGGACTGGCTTGTTTGCTGCTCACTATAATGTTGGCTCTTTGCTTTAAAAAGTGCTGGCCCTTGGTCCATCGAAAATGCCAGGTCCATCTGGCCCTCCATGTAACTCTGAGGGTATCGGGGGCTCCAAAAATTGGTGTAGAAACATAAGCTGACACTCTGGCTATTGCTACTGCTGAGTAACAAGTTCATTTATCTCTAACCCAGGAGTCACATGTCTTTGGTCAACTTCCACAAAACCGTGACACATTAACTTGTTAGTTTGCAGTAAGGTGAAAAATCTCAGAGCCCATCTCCCTCCCCTGACAGTGCTTGAAACATCAAAATTTTAAATGTAGTATGTACCCTCTTGGCTTTGTGATTCCAGTCCTACAGAATTATTCACAAGTGGACACCAAGACAGACTAATTCATTTCAGCAGTTTTTAATAGAAAAATGTTGAAACATGATGAATATTTATCAACAGAAAACAGTTTTCAGGGTTATAGTACTGACGACTTCTACATGTGGCCAAGATGCTTTTCAAAAAACACTGTTAAGAAAAATAAAAATACCAACTGCTCACTAGGAGAAACTATTGGTAAAACACATATGTGGTTAAAAGCTTGTGTTCAGGACATACAGAGAAATCTTGTAACTCAAAGAGAGAAACAACCAATTAAAAAGTGAGCAAAAGCCCTGGCTGGTGTAGCTCAGTGGATTGAGCATGGGCCTGCGAACCAGAAGATTACGGTTCAATTCCCAGTCAGGGCACATGCCTGGGTTGCAGGCCAGCTCCCAGCGGGGGACACACGAGAGGCAACCATACATTGATATTTCTCTCCCTCTCTCTTTCCCACCCCTCTAAAGATAAATAGATTTTTAAAAAAATTTTAAAGAGAGCAAAAGATTTGAAGACAGAGTTCACCAAAGAAGATATATTAATAGTCAATAAGCAATGAAAAGATGATAAACATAATTAGTCAACAGAAAATGTGAACTAAAGCCACAATGAGATGCCACTACGTGCCCAGTAGGATTAAAATGAAAAACACCTTGTGTTGGTAAGGATGCGGAAAAATGGGATTCCTGTATATTGCTGGTAGGAATGCAAAATAGAAGAATCACTTAGAAAAATAATTTGGCAGTTTCTTCTGAAGTGAAACATATACTTAATGTATGAGTCAGCAACTCCACTCCTAGGTATTACACAAGGGAAATAAAAACTGTCCATACAAATATGTGTATAGGACGATTCTTAGCAGTTTTATTCATAATAGCCCAAAACCAGAAACAACTCAAATAGGAAACAGAGTAACAAATTTTGATATATTCATACAATGCACTACTACTCAGCAATAAGAAAAAACAAACTGGTGACACCTGGGACAACATGAGTGAGTCCCAATAACATTATGTTGAGCGAAAAAAGCCAAACACAAAAGGGCATATCTATCATTCAATTTGTCTGCAACTCCAGAATTCTAAAGTGGTTCTCTGGGTGTGGGGGTGCAGGAGACTGCCTCAGGAGGGGCACAGGAGAAATCTGAGGTAATAGGAGTATTCTGTGTCTTGACCATGGTGGTGGTTACACAGGTGCATAGATTATCAAAAGTCATTGAAATATACACTTCAATAAATATATGTAAGTTCTACCTCAATAAGTCAATTTTTAAAGGTAGGATTTTGGATGATTTCTATACCCTTCAAAAATAAAAGTTTGGTTCACCCCCCCTCCACCCTCCAGCTAGAGGGGGAAAACACAAAAAAACTCGATTAGCTGAAATGCTGGATGAGGGTGAGCTTGCAACCAGTATTTGGAAAAGGAAATAATCAATAGTAAGTTCTTCTGACCACCAACAGAAATGAAGACTAGCAGCCAAGTGGTTTTTTCCCTTATTTTCATGTGTATGTGTGTGTTTCTATGTTATCTCGTTGCTTTTCCTCTCTCCTCCTTTTCCCTTGTTATTTTCTATAAGGATGGTTGGTAGTGCTTAAGTTTATAATTTAATCTGTAGGTTCATGAATATTTAGGTGAGACATAGCCTGAACAGACACAGATGCCCCAGGAAGGACACAACAACTGTTAGCCTTTGTTCCATCTCCCCTTTGGGGGACAGTGAGGGTGTGTGTACAAGGGTGTGTGTAGAAGGGCCCTTGATGGTTATTACTGGATGAGTGCCTCTGCTCCAACTCATCCTTCTATACTCTGGCGTGTGATGTCAAAGCAGCCTTCCTGTTAAATCCCACCAATACAAGGCGCTGGAGAAAAACAGGAAGGCAGAGGGGGAGAGAATGTTAGCTTGCTAGTCCTGTCAGTGCCACCCCAGCCATCATACTAGTGACCTCCTTTGACTCCGTGTTCAGCTCTGTTGGCCCTGCCAGATACCACCTCTCACGTAACAGCCAGCGCCTCCAGCTTCCCCCGGGGCTCCTTCTCTGAGCCTCTAGGCCTAACAACACCAAATCTCCCTGTCTTCCCCAAGTCCTGGGGGTAGTAGCACCTCCTAATGTTACCATGTCATGTCAGTGTCCTCTCTTCGCTTTTCAGTCCTTCCACTGAACAAATTTTTCATGTTAAATTCCCTGTTGCACTACTGATTTCTGTTATCTGGATTGGACTTGCAAGAAAAGCTACAGGCAGAAGTTGACAGAGCTGTGCTCTTAAGGAATTCACCTACTGCTGAGCTTTGGTGCCTACATGGCAAACCTGAGAAAGGGAGGACTTGAGAAGGATGAACCTTTGAGTTGGTGTGGAAGACGCAAAACTCCATGAAGATTAGATAATCAAGCATTGCTTTAGGTCCCGGTTGGCACCTAGAAAGTCATAAACACTTTAATGTTGGTTGAATCCAGACCACAGAATTGAAGTTTTTTTAAGTTGTAGACTTTTTTCTTTTTCATTGTGAATCTCAGTACTTCTGGAGACAGATCCGTGGCCCTGTTATCAACATTGTCAAGCTAGTTGCTGACAGGAGTGGCCAGTAAAGGGCTCTGCTACCCTCCAGCGTGAGCCATCAGGAGGGCCATCAGGATACAACTTGTGCATTATGTACACAATGGCAAGAGCCCGTGAAATGTGAATCTTTCCTATTTGCATAAATCACATTTGCACCCAGGGTTCCAGGAGCCTGGGCAACCTTGAATTACCCCAATAATCACTTACATTCTTCTACTATAAAGTTATTTCATTTCATCATCTCATTTAATTCTTTTTTAATTATTGTTTTCCATCCTATGGGTGAGAAAGCAGGAGGCTCAAAGAGGTAAGTTCAGCAACCTACATTGATATAACCTCATTCATTAAATATTTGCTGAGCACTTACTCTGTGCCAGCCACTATTCTGAATCAGTACTGTCTAGCAGAACTTTCTGTGATGGTACAAGTTCTATATCTGCACCATCCAGTACATTAGCCACTAATTACATGTAGCTATTGACACTTGAAATACAGCTAAAGTGGCTGATGGAACCAACTTTCATTGTATTCATTTTAGTTAACTCTATCTTATATCACATAGCTACATGTACTAGTGGTTATTGTATGAGACCGCTCAGTTCTAGACATTGGGGATCAAAGTGGTGAACAAGTCAGATAAAGACCCTAGTCTCATGGAATTTACATTCTAGTGAAAGACACAGAAAGTAAACAAATAAACAAAAAATGGCACAATACATAAGAAAATGAAAATCAAGTCATGATGAATGCTATGCTGGAAAGAGAGCAGGTTAAGGAGATTGAGGATAATGGTGGGAGGATATGTTTTTAGAAACCAATGGTCAGAAAAGGCTTCTCATAGAAGAACAGGTTTTTAATGTTCAAAAAAATTATACAGAGCTATAGAAACCCTCCAAATCCTATGCTTTCTTCACTACAAATTATTAAAAATTTCCTCTTCTTTTAAATAGCCAGGCCCTCCCTGAAGCTATGACTAGTTCACCCTATGATTGGTGACCACTCTTTTCTCTAAGCTACTGAACTTACTGTGAGGACTATCTTTATCTATAGAACTTAGAGCATTTGATAACTCTTTTTTTTTTTACTTTGTATAAACCAGACACTTTCTGTCTACAGAAAATTGTCATATTTTACTGATTTTTTAGA